TCTGTAATTTTGGCAGTTTACGTAAGTGCGCTCTATCCGTTAGAGTATCCTATGCCATTAGAGCATGATTACATTTTACAAGGGTATTTTATCATAGTTACTGCGACGTGCTCGTGGCGTTATTGGCCTCCGCACCGTCCTCTGAATCTGCCTCGGTCTCGCTACTGCTGTCGAATAGCACGTCCCACCCGAGCCCCCACGTGGCCAGTACATCTTCTCTTGCAGTCTTGCGGAAGTGGCGCATCTTGGTTCGTAGATACATTTGGATCTCGCACCGTAACGCATCACACGGCTCCACCATTGCCATCGTCAGTGGCTCACGAGTGAACGGGTCTCTTCCAGTGCTGCCTCCTTGTTGAGAAGAGGCCAATAGATGTCGAGCAATGACAGCACGATCGACAATATTACCGGACGGTAAGCGTACAGGATCCGTCATTAGAGTGCTGAGTAAGGGGTCGAGATACTGGTCTGGGATATCCCCTAAACAAGCCTCCATGGCCTCCTGTACGTGGATCATCTCGTCCGCTTCTTGCATCGCACGGACAAACTGCTGCACCCACGAGTCATCAAGGTAAAGGTACCCTTCCACGTCTCGTTCATCCGAGTCATCACGTCGTGGTCTCAAGAAGCGACAGCCTCCAACAAACAGCCTGAAGTCGAAGCGTCCGTCCTTAGCCAACGCCGCGATAAAGCGCTTACCCAGTCGCTTATTTGATGTTGTATCGACCACAGAGACTGGAGTCGATACTGCTTGTTTCTCCAGCAGAGCGAGCGCCTCGTGTTCATCCAGTTCGTGTCCTGCTTCAGCCTTTCGAATGTCTTCCACGTCATCATCTAGACTAGATCCAAGATAATTCTCCGACTCGATGCGCGTACACAGAGCGTTTAACCCCCACCGCACATGCGTGTCCAAGTCTCCCACTCGCTTCGACATGATATCACCACTAGATCGTATGATCTTCCAGAACGACGAAGGCGAACAAACAGTCGTAGAAGTCCCCGACTTCACTGCACTATGACCGGCATAACGTACCACAAGAACAATCAAGTGAGCCAGCAACAACTTCCCGTCATCCACCAGTGGCAACGAGAACTTCCACTGGTCTTCTTCATGAGCATTCGCCAATGAAGCCACGAGAAAGCTGAGCGTACGAGCTGCTTGTTCCACGACGAGAGGCTGTAACAATACGTGACGTAGTGCTGCAGCAGGAGTCGATAGTGATCGCGAACGGAAACTCCGCTCTCCACTGACGATCGAAGCGAACCACGACGTCAACTCCAGCGTCTCTAGGAGCAGACGCATGGTCAGGCGCAATTGTTTTGCGTTGATAGCGACGTATCCATCCAGCATATCGCGCCTAAAAGGCAGCACTACAACACTCCCGTCCAGCGAATCTTCAATGAGATCGTGAATCTGGCGCAACGTCGTGATCTTGTTGTTGGCCTCGTCAAACAGCTTGGCGATATCACTCCATAATCCACTTACAAGCCCTGTAAGCTGCTGAGTACTGTCGGTACTTGGTTCAGATGATGACTGCACAGTCTCGGACGTATTCAACATGTGCAGGAGACTCTGGCGTGAGCTCGGTAGCTGCCAGAGGTAGCGCAACAACATCGTTACCGATAGTCGAGTGGGTAGGAAACCCCATAGCATGTGATCTCCACTAGATACGGCACTTGTGAAGGCCAGACCGTTGTTACTGGCATTGTAGCGATCCATATCGGAATGGAACTGTATAAGCCCAGGTACCAGCCACTGCGATAGTAGTGTATGACGCTTGAATAAGGCCTCCATGCGTTGATATCCTGGACGATACTGCACATGATGACCCTTGGATACAAATGTCAATAGGGTCGTTAGAGACCGCAAGGCCTCGACTCGAAGATGCGGGTTCTTCGTGAACTTCGGAGCGACCACTAGTTGAGTCAGCATCACTAATAGAGGCTCCACAACTTCTGTAACTTCGTCTACTGCGTCATGCTTCGACTTGTTTAACTCGCTCACGAGGTCACGATACTCCAGTCGTTCGAGACCCAACAGGTACACGACGTCGCATAGATCGAAAAAGAAATGTTCGGGAAACCCGCTGAACATAGCGGAGAAGTGGGAGAGCGGCTCAGCGTAGGGATCTTGCTGCATATTCCCGTTCTCTGGGGCCGCAGACGCTGTAAGTAGAAGCCATCGACATGTCCGTGCATAAAATACGAGCCATTCTGCCACATTGGCGCGTGCTAACAAGTGCAACTCTACTTTGACACACTTGACACGGATATCCTCGAGGCGAGACTTGCTGGCCTTGTAGTGCACCGAAGGCTTGAGTGTTTGACGCTGAGAGCCATTCCTTCTCTGCCGTTGGCTCTCGACCTCAAACCGCTCCTCGTCACAGGCACAAAACGCTTGAAGTTCCTGGAGCTCCTTCGTCATACTGATCCATCTGGATAATGTAGCTAGAGGCCCAAAGTGAAGGTACTTGAGTGTTATGTAGAAGAGCTCAGTGTCACGAGGAAAGCGACGACGAGGGATTAGTGCCGGTGGGTGTAACAATCGTCGAAAATGTAACTTTCCGAGTACATCGTCCCAAGGAATGGTCAAATGACGTCTCCATGGATCGGTAATGACGAAGTACACGTGTCCGGGCGCGTGCATGTCGTTCGGATTGCCGTTGCTCAGCTTCTCTTCGTGTGCTAGACACGCAGCACACACGACTCGAGTCGTGAAGCAGTTGGCGCACTTGTAAAACACCTCGTCTGGCTGACCACTAGTCCCTAACGTGTCCCCGCAATCAGCACAGTGTATCCTTGACACATCAAATCCTTCCAGTACAGAGCTTGACTCGCATTTGTGCTTGGTAGTTAGACACTCCACAGGTAGAGGCTGGAAATGTTTTAAAGCAAACACAGGGATGGGCGATTCAATGCGAAGAAACACGTGATCCGGACTGTGGAGCATGGATTCGGATTCCGATTCGGATGCACAATCCGGAGCTGCTTGATGGGAACGAAAGATCTCGAAGCAGTCGCCGCATAGATCCATATCTCCACAGAACGCACACTTATACCGAACTCCATGGAGGTTCGGGAACTCGCACTGATCACACACCACGCCTTCATGACACGAGAGACGAGGGTAGTACGTACAAGGCAGTACTTCCTCATCAAGTCGCTCCTGTTTCCTCCGCTTGTCGTACTCAGCGATTGCATTCTCGTCGCGAGTCTTCATTTCAGACACTTCATCACCAGCAGCGTTCTCTTTACACGTATCTTGGCTACGAGAGTAGTGTAGTGGCACCTCTGGAAAGTCCTTGCTGGCATACACACGTACAGGTTCTATACTTTGGTGGTAGCTGGCATCTATGTGACTTGGATCATGTTGAGCTTTGTCCAGTACAGGGAGTGTATGTGCCAGCAGCATAGTCGTTACGTTCACTAGAAACCCATCCAGCCGTTCATGAGCGTCATAGTTCAACCGTCTTCGCGGATCTGCAGTCATTAACGCGAGCGCAAGCCAACAAAGCGTCGCATCCACCACTAGCGAGTGCTGATCGTCATCCAGTAATGTCGGCATAATATTCTGCAAGGTTTCACGATATTCTGCATAGCCACTAGTCCAGTGTGCACGTAGACAATCTGCCACTGCTGAGCCATGGTTCGCAGCACGCACAGCAGCATCGAGTTCGTGAGTATCATCCAGCATGGTCGACGCGCGCAGAAATGGCCCTAATAGAGTGCTCAGTGACATCGTCCACGTGCGCATAAACAACGGGAACCAGGAAGATGCTGGTCTTCCCGACGTAACGACAGCTGCTGATGGAGACGTCACCAGCGCGATCGCTGCGCTATTATCCGACGCTAATAATCTGTGAAGAAGCTGCGCAAAATCTGTAGCTCCCTGGAAATTATGAGGGTACAGCTCCAATACTCGTCTTCGCAGTTCCTGTGTAATTTGCCGGACTACCACAGCCCCTGTCTTGTGTTTTAAATGTGGTAAAACCAAAGCGAAGAACCGGTCGGACGTTGGCTTGGTCAGATCTTCGATTGAACTGGTAACTGGCGACTTTGTCACGTTTGGGATCCTTGTAAAGCATTCCCGGCACAAATTGAAGTTGCAAGCTGCACAGCGATACACACAGGGCGCGTCGCTGCCTGTAGTCTGCGAAACTCGCTCACAAACGGAGCATTTCCACTGTTTCGCGCCTAGAAAAGCACGAAGCGGCATTGATAGCATCAATTTGTGCTCATGGAACGTATGTTTGGTCCCGATATTGCATGGCTGCAGCAGTGTATTCACTAGTGCCACACCCATGAGTTTGGACAGTTTACCAGCGGAATCCACGACGGTTTTGTGGCTTACCGGGGCCCAAAGTTGCAGCAATTCGGCGCCTGCAAAGGCCAGCGCTGTGTCCACACTGGCCAGAGCGTCCACTAGTGTCTCCCCAAGTATTGTAT